GCGTGTCTTTCATTGGTCAGCAACAACTTGCGCGTGTCTTTCATTGGTCAGTAACAACTTGCGCGTGTCTTTCATTGGTCAGCAACAACTTGCGCGTGTCTTTCATTGGTCAGCAACAACTTGCGCGTGTCTTTCATTGGTCAGCAACAACTTGCGCGTGTCTTTCATTGGTCAGCAACAACTTGCGCGTGTCTTTCATTGGTCAGCAACAACTTGCGCGTGTCTTTCATTGGTCAGCAACAACTTGCGCGTGTCTTTCATTGGTCAGCAACAACTTGCGCGTGTCTTTCATTGGTCAGTAACAACTTGCGCGTGTCTTTCATTGGTCAGCAACAACTTGCGCGTGTCTTTCATTGGTCAGCAACAACTTGCGCGTGTCTTTCATTGGTCAGCAACAACTTGCGCGTGTCTTTCATTGGTCAGCAGCAACTTGCGCGTGTCTTTTATTGGTCAGCAACAACTTGCGCGTGTCTTTCATTGGTCAGCAACAACTTGCGCGTGTCTTTCATTGGTCAGCAGCAACTTGCGCGTGTCTTTCATTGGTCAGCAACAACTTGCGCGTGTCTTTCATTGGTCAGCAACAACTTGCGAGTGTCTTTCATTGGTCAGCAACAACTTGCGCGTGTCTTTCATTGGTCAGCAACAACTTGCGCGTGTCTTTCATTGGTCAGCAACAACTTGCGCGTGTCTTTTATTGGTCAGCAACAACTTGCGCGTGTCTTTCATTGGTCAGCAACAACTTGCGCGTGTCTTTCATTGGTCAGCAACAACTTGCGCGTGTCTTTCATTGGTCAGCAACAACTTGCGCGTGTCTTTCATTGGTCAGCAACAACTTGCGCGTGTCTTTCATTGGTCAGCAACAACTTGCGAGTGTCTTTCATTGGTCAGCAACAACTTGCGCGTGTCTTTCATTGGTCAGCAACAACTTGCGCGTGTCTTTCATTGGTCAGCAACAACTTGCGCGTGTCTTTTATTGGTCAGCAACAACTTGCGCGTGTCTTTCATTGGTCAGCAACAACTTGCGCGTGTCTTTCATTGGTCAGCAACAACTTGCGCGTGTCTTTCATTGGTCAGCAACAACTTGCGCGTGTCTTTCATTGGTCAGCAACAACTTGCGCGTGTCTTTCATTGGTCAGCAACAACTTGCGCGTGTCTTTCATTGGTCAGCAACAACTTGCGCGTGTCTTTCATTGGTCAGCAACAACTTGCGCGTGTCTTTCATTGGTCAGCAACAACTTGCGCGTGTCTTTCATTGGTCAGCAACAACTTGCGCGTGTCTTTCATTGGTCAGCAACAACTTGCGCGTGTCTTTCATTGGTCAGCAACAATTTGCGTGTCTTTTATTGGTCAGCAACAACTTGCGCGTGTCTTTCATTGGTCAGCAGCAACTTGCGCGTGTTTCATTGGTCAGCAATATCTTAGACACAATAAGGACAAAACTTGCCTACGTATTTACTATGTGCAATAACTTATACACACGCAACAGATTGCCGTAGAAAATCACCGTGTAACAATCGAAATCTGGGATTATGTTAGCTAGAAACAATACCATTCTCCATCAATCATTCTGTTTGTTCCGACGATTAAAATCTTGTTTTCAATGAAAAGCCAACGACTCTTAAACTAACTGGAACGGTCACGGTTGAAGAGATCCATGGATGAAAGTAGCACAAGCGAAACAATAACAAGCCGTTCGATTCAATCAAAACAGGTGAGGTAATTTGATGGCAGAGAGAAAGGGAGTTCACCGATACGAGATCACAGGGACGTAAGCGGTAGTGATGATGGATGTAGATACTAAATTTCGAATGGGATTTTCAGCACAGCCGGCTGATCACGAGTGATATTGATCTCATACGGTAAACCTATTGTTTTAATGACTGGTGGGTCGTCGTCTTTCATTGATGAAAAAAGAGGGCTGTGCTTGCTTTTCGAGCTGATGCACAAAGACAAACATATACAACACGATTATTAAAATATATTGATTTTAAAAAAAAACAAAGCGATGTATATTTACGGTTAAACATCTAAAAAATATTTTATGGCTAGTTTAAGAAATAAATTTAAAATGATATTGTAAAAGTCACGAGGAAGTTTGTTTACTTGTTCTTCTCATTTGGTATCAGTCAATCCGTCTTTGTGAAATGCACCCAGTGTTTCACTGATACCATTTACCATCCCTTGTATTTCAGAACCCCCACCCCTCCTGTTCCTCATACACCCCCCCTCGCCCTTTTGATGCCGGACGTCACAATCCCAAGTGTTCACCCAAATCACATTAGACCAACTGACCCCCCCCCCCCCTCCAGCCTTATGTTCTGTGTGTGACAGGTATATCTGGCAGCATGCGAACTGTGAGTTGGAATAAAAGATGTGGCGAGGGATGCGATCAGAGGTTTGGGTGCACGTCCCATCATCAAAACACGGCATAGAAAGGTAGCTGTTCACGGCATAGACAGGTCGCTGTTCACAACACAGTAGTCGACTAGAGCAGAGGTCTCCAAACTTTTCAGTCCGAGGGCCGCATTAACTATCAAAATTCAGTTCAGGGGCCAGTTTCTTCCAGGCATGTCTTTGATTGTTCTGGGCAAAGTTCCCCAGCCATCACCAACATACGATTTTTCCGTGAACAAAAAGATCTCAGCGGGCCGGATGAGAGGACTTCGCGGGCCGCATTCGGCCCGCGGGCCGTAGTTTGGAGACCCCTGGACTAGAGTGATCTCCCTCTACAAGCTTCAGACCAGCTGGGTCTGAGGCTTGTACTACTGGAATCTAGTAGTAGCAGATATCACTTTTAGCTCTTGTGTGTCGTCAGATAGTTCTGGTGTGTCTCTTAGCTCTGGTGACAGCGCTAGTGACACAGAGCATAGAGATACGCCAGAGCTAGGAGACAGAGCTAAGAGACACACCAGAACTAAGAGTCTAAACGGAAATAACCGGAGACTTGGCTTGAGCATTTACATTGAATTATTATAGGCGAAACACACTCTCTGCGTTTTGATTTTTTTATACGCAGATATTTGCAGAGATTTTAGCTTACAGTAAAGTTAAGGATACATTCAAACCGTGTACCCTTTGATTTAACTACTTCATGCCCAACTCTTATGGACGTCTTTCATTGGTCAGCAGCAAATTGTATGTCTTTACTTGGGCAGCTAAGAGACACAACAGAGCTTAGAGAAACTAGAGCTTACAGACACTAGAGCTTAGATACACCTAAGTTAGAAGACTGTCTTTGCCCACCACACACTAGTATCTAGCTCCTCGGAGAAAAGACGAAGAGAAGGAGAGAAAGAGAATGTAACAATCAATCATGATGTAATAGGCAATTAAAAAAAAACAACCGGCACTCAACCAGTACAGGAAGTTCGCCGGTTCTATTTACATCACATCAGCCGGCCCATGTTTGTTCCCGCAACTCACGTCTTCCCCGTCGGGTGGTCGGGAAATCAACAAGGAAGTGAAATCTTAGAACAAACAACCCAGCAATTAACATCTCAGAAATAGTTCATTCGGCCAGCACGGATGAATAGGGGAATGGGGTTAATTGTTTATTTTTTCTCTGTATTTTTAAAACAGTGGGATGGGGGGAAGCTTCGAGAAAAGAGTAAGTGAAGATATCCGTAGTGACGAACGGAGAGGCGGGGGTATTGACGTCATAGCTCGTGGGTCGCGGTGCCTATACGCCAGTGTGACAACTGAACGAGATTTTGACAGTCAGTAAATATGACAGAATCTATCCATTCTTCTTTCTTCTCATTCGTACTTAATTTTTAGTGTTGCAAGGGACCGAGCCTTATCTCGAGACTTTTTTTCTCGAATTTATCAACCACGACACGCAACTCCTTCACAATTAAGGATACGTGTCAACTGGTTATGCGCCATTGAGGCCATTGACTCCGATTTCAGCCTACTTTTCTTTTCGGATTTGCTTCCATAGCCTTTGTCCAACCAAGAACAAACTACAAGGCAGCTGTTGTTTGATTTTGGAGTTGTCTCTCCTAGAAGAGTGGCTGTCCCCAGCTAACGAGCCTCATCTGCCCGAGGGTTCGAACTCGAGACTTGTCGGTTTAGCAACCATGACTCGCCCACGCCGACCCCTGTCCAGTAACTATGACAGTATCTTGTCTTCCTCTATTCCTAAACCACGACAATTCCTTGTCTTTAACTAAAAGATTATGGATACCCCCCTGTCCTGTATAGGGGACGGGCCATTACATCACGCTACACTGAACCCAGCCCCTACCGTAGGGACTACACAGTTCGATCACTTAATGTAGCGGAATTTATGTGTAGTTGATTGTACAACACACTCGAGACCCCGGCTAGACAAAATACGATCCATAGTGTGTTGACAATACCTATGCCGGTTTTTACATTATTCACGACACCGTTGGTTAAGTCCTTGTTTGGCAAGGTCATGCACTATCTCAACTAATTTACAACAATGATAGGGCTATTGTTTGCAAGAACTACACGTTGGCAGTCTGTTTGTTGTCAGGTATTCAGTCCCAGGTCACAGTTGGTCTGAGATATTTGAGCGAGTTGTCCATTGTCCAACTGGGACGCCCGTATCATATTTTACTATCAATTCATGCAGGTGAGCTTCTCACCTGCAGGCTCATTTACTGATAACAACTTTTAAAAGATATACCAGTGGCAAACATCTAACATGCATCCATGACATTTTATTTGTAGGGCATTTATTGAATGCACATCCATGACATGAGGTTGTGGGGCCCTAAGCTCCACAAGGAATATAGAGGATTAAGTCAAGTAAGTCAAGTCGTCCATGACAAACGCTTAGTGCAGTCATCTACCACATATGACATATGCTTAAGGCAGTCATCTACCACACATGACATCATATAATGCAGGCACACATCTACCCCTTCCCCCCCCAACCAATGGGGTGCAGTGTGCAGAAACCCACCCACGTGACATAGAACCATACCCAGCTGAGCAGACACCCACACACGTGACATAGAACGTGTACTCACCCTGAGTTTGTCCTCGTCCATACCCAGCAGCTCCCTGCCCGTGACCTGTTTCTCCCTGAACAGCTCCACGTACCGGTACAGGTTGGCCGCTGCCATCCACTCGACCACGTTAGCCACACTCCATTCTGCGATTGGCTGGGGACAAAACAGACTTAATTTAACACTCCATTCTGCGATTGGCTGGGGACATAAGGAACATAGACTTAATTTAACACTCCATTCTGCGATTGGCTGGGGACATAAGGAACATAGACTTAATTTAACACTCCATTCTGCGATTGGCTGGGGACATAAGGAACATAGACTTAATTTAACACTCCATTCTGCGATTGGCTGGGGACATAAGGAACATAGACTTAATTTAACACTCCATTCTGCGATTGGCTGGGGACATAAGGAACATAGACTTAATTTAACACTCCATTCTGCGATTGGCTGGGGACATAAGGAACATAGACTTAATTTAACACTCCATTCTGCGATTGGCTGGGGACATAAGGAACATAGACTTAATTTAACACTCCATTCTGCGATTGGCTGGGGACATAAGGAACATAGACTTAATTTAACACTCCATTCTGCGATTGGCTGGGGACATAAGGAACATAGACTTAATTTAACACTCAATTCTGCGATTGGCTGGGGACAACACAGACTTAATTTAACACTCCATTCTGCGATTGGCTGGGGACATTATAACAATTCCGTTAAAATATGTCGATTTGTTTTTAAATTTACAAGTGGGTCAAGTACAGACTTAATTTAACACTCCATTCTGCGATTAGCTGGGGACAACACCGACTTAATTTAACACTCCATTCTGCGATTAGCTGGGGACAACACAGACTTAATTTAACACTCCATTCTGCGATTAGCTGGGGACAACACCGACTTAATTTAACACTCCATTCTGCGATTAGCTGGGGACAAAACAGACTTAATTTAACACTCCATTCTGCGATTAGCTGGGGACAACACAGACTTAATTTAACACTCCATTCTGCGTTAGGCTGAGACAGTTGGAAGATTATTCCTTGAAAAATTACACTTCATATCTCCGTCAAACAGACACAAATTTAACAAAATAATTCCAGACCAGTAAGTGATCAAAGCTCTGATTAGCTACCCCCCCCCCCCCCCCTCCATCCCAATGAGCCACTGACCTAATCCCTGAAAAGTACAAAAGGCCGGGGAAAGTGCTCAACACACACACACACACACATTCCCGTCAATACAGAGGTCAAAGAGACAGATGTACTCTACTCCATCTGGTTTATTGGTCATCAGATCTGAAAGGGATCCGTACTTTTTTTTTAGCTTACATCCAGACGATAAAAGTCTGTACAATCAAAGACCCCCCCCCCCCTCCCCCGTCATGAACGCTACATAAAGACTTTACTGTCATGAACGTTTCATATAAGACTTACAATCTTGAGCAGCTAACCGAATATCCTATATGCAGGTTAACGAATACATTTTATTAAAAAAAACTTCACCAAATGGAGATAATTGCGTATAAATTCACGCTCGATGCGAAAGTTTAAACCAAAGCTAACCAAATAAGATTCCCAGCGTGTACTTTAAGATCCACCGATAACTTAACCCGGAAGTTATAAAAAATGTTACAGCAGAAACATTGAAAAGCTACGGACATTTTAAACTGCTAACGACTGTAGACGTGGATACGACTGTATTAAAGCTAAACTATGCTATACAACAGAAACACGGCCCATTGTAATCAACTCATATTACTACAAATACAATTAATTATCTCATAAACTCCCCAGCCACATAATTCACATAAATTAAAAGCCACATAACAACCTGCATTCAATCACATACATAATCCACATTCATCACGACGTATTTCACAATATAATCCACGTTATCTCATAATCTGCATAAATCATCCCAAAATTCAATTACATGCCATCTAAAAAATTATAATCATAAAATACAAATATATCACCTTTAAACCCAGTTATACTGCATGTTTCTACTCCATACACCTTTTCAAGATCTAGATATAGTTCCTTATCTATACAGATTCCACTTTAAAAACCATATAATACAGGACGATAATACCGCCGCCTTATTACATAAAGCGTCTCAATTGTGTAATATCGAACAGTCTATAATTAGAATCTTTGAATGCCGGTAAAAGTACGTGCTCATTAAAGTAAAGTGCACGCCAGTATAGACACAAAAGTGCAACAATTTAGTGCCCTCATAATACTTCAACATACACATTTGATGTTCCCACACATACAGACTTTACCCACATGTACAGTACAGACTACCCACATATACAGATTCTACCAACACATACAGAATAACCACACCCACACATACAGACTTTACCCACACATACAGACTTAATGTCCCCACACGTACAGAGTTTACCCACACATACAGACTTTACCCACACATACAGACTTAATGTCCCCACACATACAGAATTAATGTCCCCACACATACAGACTCAACCTACACATTCATAATTTATTCCCCCACACACACAGAATTAATTTCCCCACATATACAGACTCTACCCACAAACAGAATACCCACACAAATACAGAGCTAATGTCCCCACACACAGACCTTACTCCCCACACATACAGAGAACATATCCCCACACACAGACCTTACTCCCCACACATACAGACTTAACGTCCCTACCCATACATCAAAAAGATCGTACAACCAGTCCACCTGATTCAGTACATCAGCAATGTTAAAGACACCGTGCTCCACATTTGAAATGGAGTTGAACCTGAGTTAGTTCCCTGTCGGAATGGAAAGTCTGAGATATTTGTCTTATAAGACAAATTACATGTCTGCAACTAAACACTGTATACCTGTTCATTATATTTTTTTTATTAACGCTTGTCTTAAACTTTTCTTACAAGAAAAATTTGCTCTAAGACGCCAAAAAACAGGATGAACGTTTCAATAAAATGTGTCCGTGTTTCAGACAAGCCAAAAGTAATTTTTTTTTTAATATACAAAGACCCTTCATATTTTACAACTTATTTTTAAAGAGCGAACATCAAACAACAGCGAACATCTGGGGAAGGAGCACGGTGGAGCTTGGGGCTGGTTTTATTTGTTTTGGTCTACTGGGAATACTTAAAAGGTCTTTTAAAGATGGGATCAATCCAACACACATACAGTGGATTAATCCAACACACAGTGGATCCATATCTACATACATTGGATCAAACCAACACATACAGAGGATCAATCCAGTACACAGTGGATCCATAACTACATATAGTAGATAATCCAACACACATACAGAGGATCAATCCAGTACGAAGTGGACCATAACTACATACAGTGGATCAATCCAACACACATACAGTGGATTAATCCAACACTGTGTGTTGGATTAATCCACTGTATGTGTGTTTTACCATTATGTTTCTACATACAGTGGATCAATCCAACTCACATACAATGAATCCATATCCACCTACAGTGGATTAATCTAACACGCCTACCACGGATACATATCCACCAAGAGTGGATTCATATCCCCTTTCATTGGATTACAGTGGATTAATCAAGCACATATACAGTGGATTAATCCAGTACACATACATGGATGAGTTCGGTACACCTGAAGTGGATGACTTGGGTACACCTCCAGTGTACCAGTCCAGTACACCTGAAGTGGATGAGTACACCTGAAGTGGACCAGTCCAGTACACCTGAAGTGGACCAGTCCAGTACACCTGACGTGGACCAGTCCAGTACACCTACAGTGGACCAGTCCAGTACACCTGAAGTGGATGAGTACACCTGAAGTGGACCAGTCCAGTACACCTGAAGTGGACCAGTCCAGTACACCTCCAGTGGACCAGTCCAGTACACCTGAAGTGGATGAGTACACCTCCAGTGGACCAGTCCAGTACACCTGAAGTGGACCAGTCCAGTACACCTGAAGTGGACCAGTCCAGTACACCTGAAGTGGACCAGTCCAGTACACCTGAAGTGGACCAGTCCAGTACACCTCCAGTGGACCAGTCCAGTACACCTGAAGTGGACCAGTCCAGTACACCTGAAGTGGACCAGTCCAGTACACCTGAAGTGGACCAGTCCAGTACACCTGAAGTGGATGAGTACACCTCCAGTGGACCAGTCCAGTACACCTGAAGTGGACCAGTCCAGTACACCTGAAGTGGATGAGTACACCTCCAGTGGACCAGTCCAGTACACCTGAAGTGGATGAGTACACCTGAAGTGGACCAGTCCAGTACACCTGAAGTGGACCAGTCCAGTACACCTCCAGTGGACCAGTCCAGTACACCTGAAGTGGACCAGTCCAGTACACCTGAAGTGGACCAGTCCAGTACACCTGAAGTGGACCAGTCCAGTACACCTGAAGTGGACCAGTCCAGTACACCTCCAGTGGACCAGTCCAGTACACCTGAAGTGGACCAGTCCAGTACACCTGAAGTGGACCAGTCCAGTACACCTGAAGTGGACCAGTCCAGTACACCTGAAGTGGACCAGTCCAGTACACCTGAAGTGGATGAGTACACCTCCAGTGGACCAGTCCAGTACACCTGAAGTGGACCAGTCCAGTACACCTGAAGTGGATGAGTACACCTCCAGTGGACCAGTCCAGTACACCTGAAGTGGATGAGTACACCTGAAGTGGACCAGTCCAGTACACCTGAAGTGGACCAGTCCAGTACACCTCCAGTGGACCAGTCCAGTACACCTGAAGTGGACCAGTCCAGTACACCTGAAGTGGACCAGTCCAGTACACCTCCAGTGGACCAGTCCAGTACACCTGAAGTGGATGAGTACACCTCCAGTGGACCAGTCCAGTACACCTGAAGTGGATGAGTACACCTGAAGTGGACCAGTCCAGTACACCTGAAGTGGATGAGTACACCTCCAGTGGACCAGTCCAGTACACCTGAAGTGGATGAGTACACCTGAAGTGGACCAGTCCAGTACACCTGAAGTGGACCAGTCCAGTACACCTCCAGTGGACCAGTCCAGTACACCTGAAGTGGACCAGTCCAGTACACCTGAAGTGGACCAGTCCAGTACACCTCCAGTGGACCAGTCCAGTACACCTGAAGTGGATGAGTACACCTGAAGTGGACCAGTCCAGT